GATTGTCGTATGGGCGGGAGCTGGCACTATGCTTTTTCGATCGTTTTCGTCCGAGGCCGGGTGCATACAGTTCAGCAGGCACCTACGGAAAAAACTCAAAACTGCAAGTTTCGCCTTCCGGTAAATCGAAGTACAGTCCACGCTAATCATTTGGGCGGAGACAGCCCACAGTCAAGTCGCCTTATTCGGCACAGGTGTCCAAAAAGTAAGGGTATGCCACCGAAAGGTGTGTTAAAGGAATAGGTACAAGGCGACTTGCCCTACATGCTAAAGGGCTCTTCTGCTCGGAATATCTCACCGACTTTTCCCAATTTTCTCCCTTTTTTCCGGGATTTCCGAGAACCTTTCACTTCCCTCACCCTCCCCCGGAACTTCGCCGCCACCCGGAAGACGGAGGGAAGTGAGGTTACCATCGAACAATCACTATTTTCAGCTATCGAAAATGGTTGTTGAGTAAGACCTTGAAGGCAACAGCAGTCAGGGGTGGCAGATACAACCCTCCTTTAGAAAGCAACGAGCAAATACTACATCTCCCATCCTAGTGGGGACCAACGATGTGGATAGCGCTCAGGAAACAGAAAAAAAAATGTGTATCAAAAAAATTTCTCACGCTCAATACGACCCCTCTACCTCCAGCAATGCGACCACCCGCTGGAGATTCCCATCGTTCGATGTGCCTGGCTCGGATTTCCTTGCCTGGCGGATCCTTTCCAGTTTGACAGAAAAAAACCATGCAAATTTCAGACCAGGACAATGTCTACGGAGGTGTGTACACCTATGGTGGTTTGGACACCGCAAACTGCGGTCCAGTTCTCGCATATCAACCGCTCTCGTCAGCAACCTACTACCAGTTCAAGGTATAGCTCGCTCTCACTGGTCCTGGTCTAGTCTATGGTGATATTCTAAGTAGCAGTACTTGATCGTTTAGGCCTTCCGAGAATTGGTAACGACGTTTATTGGACTAACGTTTGCGGGTCAACCTGAAAACGTAACCTAAGAGGTTGGTTTTAGGTCTGTTACGATTTCGTTCCTAGATTTCCTACCCTTGATTTCCTTTGTAAGTGATTTTGGTTTTTGGGTGAAGTGTCTCGATAATGTGCTTCCGACTTTACAGGACTCCGAAGAAGGCGATTTTCGCCGAAACGTTAGTCTAATAAACGTCGTTACCAATCTCGGAAGGCTAAACGATCAAGCTACTGTACTATATACTACATATATGCCGAGATTAATTGAAAGCCGTTCATGGGAATATTTCTGATTTGATAATTTTAAAACCTTTCCAGCTTGATGCCGTTGCTTCAAGCACTTACTCGTCAACAAAAGGATGGCAAGCTATTTCTGACACTGGTACATCCTTGTTGGCCGCTCCTACGTCGATAGCCAGCGCTATCGCTGACGCCAATGGAGCTACGGTAAGTGTTTCACTTTGCTTCTTCGACAGTACGTAAAGTGGTGTAACCTCTGATTCCGCAGAGAGGACCCCAAACACTGTCATTGCCGCGAGTCCATTCAACACCAGTAGCTGAACGTGACAGGCGCGGCAAATAACAATTACAGTTTAGGCATCAGGGTTACACGCAATGAGAAGGGTGAAAAGGCAGTGTCCACAAGACGTCCCCTTCAAATTTCCGTCCCAACTAACAACCCCCTCATTCCTCGTTCGACCCCGCTTCCCAAGCCTTCTCGCAATGCTCTATGCAGCAGGGTACAGCATCGTGATGTGTAAAATGGTGGTGAATGTACGACTTCCCCTCCGAGAGAGGGTGTCAGTATGCCCCCCCCCACCTAAATGAGGGCCTCGGTACACCCCCCCCCCCCTCCCTGAACACCCACCCACCGATTTCGCCACATTTCTCAAGTTCTTTACCTAGAAATTTTTACTGGCCGAGCCGGTAAGGTGGGCGTATTATATGTAACTGTAGTAACGCGATGAAAAAGGAAAGACCACGCCAAAAAGTAAACAACGAGCGTAGATACGCAAAAAGTAAACTACCGGGAGAAAATTTTCTCCCCAACACAGAAAATTTCTCTTGAAGGCACATACGACCTCCCCCCCCCTATGTGTTTCACAACGACGCTGTACCCTGCCTATCCTGAAACATTTCCAATTTCTTCCAAAAAAAATTAGCTTGGGCGTACGAATGAACTACCAATAGTTTTAAGGTCTTCACTTTTGAGGCTGGAACATCCCTGTATTCTGCGAGTTGCCAGGCGATTTTAGAACCCTAGATGTAGCAAGGAGGAAACGCTTCCCTTGAGTGACAGCTGATTGATTGAAACTGATTAGAAAGCGGATCAAAGTGGAAATTCCGTTTAGTCATTGCGTAATCACCTTATCTATAGCGGGGAATTCGCGTGTAAGAGTGGAGCCTGATAAGATACGGGCGTCACCCACACCACAGGATCTCTTCGTACTTTTTCACTCTCGGGGTGGTGACGTCAGCAGTACAGTTCAGTGACGCCATTCAAGGTTTGCTTCACGGAGGTTGCGGGTTATATCCTTCAGGAAGTAGCTCATCACAAAAACTCGGAAAGGTGCCACCAATTCTGCTTTGTTGACTCATTCTTCAGGGTACGAGACGCATCGCGTACAAGGCAAAGTAACCGGGGCTCAAGTTTGGAAGGTAAACCCACAGAATGAAGCTCCAGCGGGGGGGGTTAGGGGGCCCACGCCAGCCAAGCGCTACC